TCTTAGGCGTTTTCTTAGTTTAAGGGGTTTTATGCATACCACTTAAGTTTTGTGGGCGTGACTTAAACCAACTAAGATTTTACTAAGGAAATACTTAGTTTAAGATTTTTTATGCATACCACTTAGGTAAAAAGGGCGGAGTTTCCTTAACTTAAGTGTTTACTAAGGAAAATCTTAACTTAAGTAGCTTTATGCATACGGGCCCAGACCTTTATTCATTCGGATTTAAGCCAATCAAATCAACTCAGTTTTCGTATCACTTTTTCGTGCAGTGTGATACGAGAAATATCTCTTCATGCAAGAAATAGATAAGAAGCCACCACCATAAGAGAATGAATAGTATTATGCTTGTCACTTAAAATTTAAAAAAAAAATAGATACAGCACTAGCATATTTCCAGTCTGATGGAATTTTGCCAGAATCAATCGATTTTTGTAAAACATATGTCAAAATGAAAACAATTCCTCTGAAAGTTTATGTAAGACCTAAGGTTGAAGATTATCTACGACATTGGCTTTATGGGGATTTAACTGTTTTAGTAACTTAAAATACTATTATAATCAATAAATTATAATATGTGATAGAAAAAACAATGGATATGGGATATCCATCCATGACACAAAATCAGTGCTTGTACAGCAAAAAAAAATAAAAAAAAGCAAAAAGCAAAGGAACAGCGTTTATATTGCTGTTCTACATCTCAAAGTCACACTGTAGACTTTCAACACGGAGTAAAAAAACTCTCACCTCACTACACGTATAAGACGGCCACTAGCACAGGCTTGTAAGAAACTATTTGCAAAAATAATTTGGATAGACTTTTGTCATTTCGGGGCCTTTAAACTTATAGCTGACTATGCGGTATGGGCTTGGCTCATTGTTTAAGGCCGTACGGTGACCTATAGTTGTTAATTTCTGTGTCATTTGGTCTCTTGTGAAGAGTTGTCTCATTGGCAATCATACCACATCTTCTTTTTTTATATTTGTAAGATGTAACACCATAGTAGTACATATTTAAAACAAAAAAGTTCCTACGCATAAGTGTAAATATAAAACTATGTAGGTAATATTTTAGTAATTAAGTTATCAGATGAAAGGTGAAAGCTGTAGATCCTTGTATAGAACATTAAGGTATCAGATGAAAGGTGAAGGACTGATGATCCTTGTATAGAACATTAAAGTATCAGATGAAAGGTGAAGGACTGGTGATCCTTGTATAGAACATTAAGGTATCAGGTGGAAGGTGAAGGACTGGTGATCCTTGTATAGTATCAGGTGGAAGGTGAAGGACTGGTGAACTTGTATAGAACACTAAGGTATCAGATGAAAGGTGAAGGACTGGTGATCCTTGTATAGAACATTAAGGTATCAGATGAAAGGTGAAGGACTGGTGATCCTTGTATAGAACATTAAGGTATCAGGTGGAAGGTGAAGGACTGGTGATCCTTGTATAGAACATTAAGGTATCAGATGAAAGGTGAAGGACTGGTGATCCTTGTATAGAACATTAAGGTATCAGATGAAAGGTGAAGGACTGGTGTTCCTTGTATAGAATATTAAGGTATCAGATGAAAGCTGAAGGACTGGTGTTCCTTGTATAGAATATTAAGGTATCAGATGAAAGGTGAAGGACTGGGGATCCTTGTATAGAACATTAAGGTATCAGGTGGAAGGTGAAGGACTGGTGATCCTTGTATAGAACATTAAGGTATCAGATGAAAGGTGAAGGACTGGTGATCCTTGTATAGAACATTAAGGTATCAGGTGGAAGGTGAAGGACTGGTGATCCTTGTATAGAACACTAAGGTATCAGAGGAAAGGTGAAGGACTGGTGATCCTTGTATAGAACATTAAGGTATCAGATGAAAGGTGAAGGACTGGTGTTTCTTGTATAGAATATTAAGGTATCAGATGAAAGGTGAAGGACTGGTGATCCTTGTATAGAACATTAAGGTATCAGGTGGAAGGTGAAGGACTGGTGATCCTTGTATAGAACACTAAGGTATCAGATGAAAGGTGAAGGACTGGTGATCCTTGTATAGAACATTAAGGTATCAGGTGGAAGGTGAAGGACTGGTGATCCTTGTATAGAACACTAAGGTATCAGATGAAAGGTGAAGGACTGGTGATCCTTGTATAGAACATTAAGGTATCAGATGAAAGGTGAAGGACTGGTGATCCTTGTATAGAAAATTAAGGTATCAGACGAAAGGTGAAGGACTGGTGATCCTTGTATAGAACAATAAGGTATCAGACGAAAGGTGAAGGACTAGTGTTTCTTATATAGAACATTTAGGTATCAGACGAAAGGTGAAGGACTGGTGATCCTTGTATAGAACATCAAGGTATCAGATGAAAGGTGAAGGACTGGTGTTCCTTTTATAGAACATTAAGGTATCAGATGAAAGGTGATGGACTAGGGTATCAGATGGAAGGTGAAGGACTGGTGATCCTTGTATAGAACACTAAGGTATCAGATGAAAGGTGAAGGATTAGTGTTTCTTGTATAGAACATTTAGGTATCAGACGAAAGGTGAAGGACTGGTGATCCTTGTATAGAAAACTAAGGTATCCGATGAAAGGTGAAGGACTGGTGATCCTTGTATAGAACATCAAGGTATCAGATGAAAGTTGAAGGACTGGTGTTCCTTGTATAGAACACAATCATATTGACTGATAATTTTGAATTATACAAATTTGGCACAGTTTGATGGGTCTTGAACCTTTATTTGGCATAGAACTGAATCTTTGCAAGTGAAAACACTTTTAAATTGTTCATTAAAGCTATTAGGTTGCGTATTAGACAATCTGATTAAAATATAGATCGCTGATTTCGTTATACGTCTAGATTAGTCTATGAAAGGTATATACTATGAAATTTAGAGCGAGGGGCTTGGTCCGGAAAACCTTGTTTTTGGACAATCAATGCTTTTGAATGGGGATATATGGTTGGAACACCCCCCCCTCCTTTTTATCCTGGGTTGGAACACCCCTTTCTTTTAAAAACGGCTGGATCCTCCCCTGTAATGTCCCCATAGATAGTCTAGCGGATAGTCATTAAAAAGCAACTACCAATAGATTAAAGATACTAGGGTTTATGTTTGTTTTTTTTTGTTATTTCAAAGTAAAAACTAAAAGATTTATCAGAACATGTATATATGATATATATATATGTGGCACATTCTCTTCAGACATTATCACGGTTTTTCTATTCATGACATCGTCCTGAACATGCATGCAATATTTGCCACTGAACATTAAGCAACCAATAATCAATCAATCAATCAATCAATTCATGACAAAATAGATCAAGTTGCCTTAATTTCCCTTCACAAGGTTTCATAGTACACACTTTTTTGTGTACAAAGTAATTGCATGGATGATAAATTATCACAATTTTAAGATGGCGTTGTACTCTAATCAAGGTATAAAGAACCATATTTGTTACTCTTTATTTAAATGAAAGAAACTTGCAATCGTCAAAAAACATTTTTTAGATCCAAAGATTTAAATGGCAGGATATCTACAAGTCAATGTGAAAACTAATTACAAACTATTTAATTTAATTTGGATCACAGCATTTTATTCAAAATAGCCAGTGGCAATTTTTGTTTTAATATCTTGATTACGATACAATGAAATCTTACCCTTGTGGTCGTTCATGCGTAGTTACTTAGTACACGGAAAAAATATGTACTATGAAAATTAGAATATAGCAAAGTGCTCTCAACTAATGAAATTGTAGGATTTGATGCCTCTTAATTGATAAGAATGAATGTAAATCATGTTCTAAGTAAGGGATTATCCTATTATTTGGGTCTATTTACAGTTCAAAACAAAGAGTTTCTATAAATGAGTCACAACTGCCCCGGCCCGAAGCCGATTTATCAGATTGAAAGGATTTATCACAGTGATTGAAACTGAATAAAAGTTGAATTGTGAAACAAACAAAAAAAAAATCAAAATAAGTTGAAGTTTACTGGTTCAGTAAAATTTGTACCTTTAATAATGTTATTATGAATATATTAACAACTTCAAATTACTCAAAAAATAAACAATATCAAAGCAATGCAAAAAGAAGAACAAAAAAGTTTTAAAATAAAAAATAACCTAAATCTTTAGCTTCCCAAAACTCTGATTACTGAACCAGCGGTTGGGAAGAATAGTTATTTCCAATATTCCGATAAAATAAAATGAAAAAAAAACAGGAATTTGATTAAAGTTTTGAATATATTTAAAACTTTTAAAGGCATTTTATTAGAACATTTCCCTGACATAATGAAATAGTATTTGATTTAAAAAGCCAGAACCAAAATATTGGCTGTGAAATAAAATTAGTTGTAACTCAAATGTATTTATTGATTTAAACTGTAAATAAAAAAGGAGAATTTCTCACTAAAATATTACATGATTTACATTCATACTCACAATCAGGAAACATATAGAATTCGTACCTTTTCTTTTTACTGTTTTGTCACCTAATGTCTCTAACGCATTTTTTAAATATTTCCCAAATTACCTAATGTCTCTAACGCATTTTTTTAAATATTTCCCAAATTATAAGAAAGTCCTTGCATCACTAAAACTAACCCATAAATGAAATGCTGAAAAATGAAGTCATGCATCAATTATAAACATTTAATTTACACTGACAATGAAACTAATTCTTGGATACAACCAATCAAGAGATCAATTGAGCCTTAAGCACTTTACAATATTCTAAGTTTGTAAGAGAATGATAATCCCTTACTTCATGATAAGTACTCGCTAACGCTCGTACTTAATCATGAAGAAAGAGATTATCATTCTCTTACATATACTTAGAAGGCAAATTCAAGCAATTTGATTTGACGAGAAGTTGTAAATATGTGCTAATTGTTTATATGCAAGCACGTTAGTTGTTATAGATATGAATTTTAATCAGATTGGTGTATTAAAATCCCTGTAAGCTTCATATTATGAATGAATGAATGAATCTGTATTGCTAAAACTTAAACATGCTATGGCAAACTTAACAACATATATAACACATGGAGAGCTTGCGTATAAGAATCACTGTTAGCTTGAGTATTAGAATCACTGTTAGCTTGAGTATTAAAATCGCTGTTAGCTTGAGTATTAGAATCACTGTTAGCTTGAGTATTAGAATCATTGTTAGCGTGCGTATTAGAATCACTGTTAGCTACCGTAATAGCATCACTCTTATCTAGCGTCTTATAATCACTGTTAGTTTGCGAATTAGAATTACTGACTGTTAGCTTGCGTATTATAATCATTGTTAGATAACGTATAAGAATCACGGTTAGCTAGCGTATTAAAATCACTGTTAGCTTGTGTATTAGAATCACTGTTAGCCTGCGTATTAGAATCACTGTTAGCTTGGGTATTAGAATCACTGTGAGCTTGCGTATTAGAATCACTGTGATCTTGCGTTATAGAATCACAGTTAGCTTGCCTATTAGAATCACTGTTAGTTTCCGTATAAGAAACACTGTTAGCTTGGGTATTAGATATACTGTTAGCTAGCGTATAAGAATTACTGTGAGCTTACGTTATAGAATCACTGTTAGCTTGCATATTGGAATCACTGTTAGTTTGCGTATTATAATCACTGTGATCTAGCGTATTAGAATCACTGTTAGCTTGCGTATTAGAATCACTTTGAGCTTGAGTTTTAGAATTACTGTTAGCTTGCGTATTCGAATCACTGTTAGTTTGCGTATTAAAATCGCTGTGAGCTTGCGTTATAGAATCACTGTTAGCTTGCGTATTAGAACCACTGTTAGCTTGCGTTATAGAAACACTGTAAGCTTGCGTATTAGAACCACTGTTAGCTTGCGTATTAGAATCACTGTGAGTTTGCGTTATAGAATCACTGTTAGCTTGCAAATTAGAACCACTGTTAGCTTACGTTATAGAACCACTGTTAGCTTGCGTATTAGAACCACTGTTAGCTTGCGTTATAGAACCACTGTTAGTTTGCGTATTAGAATCCCTGCTAGCTTGCGTATTAGAATCACTTTTGGCTTGTGTATTAGAATCACTGTGAGTTTGTGTATTAGAACCACTGTTAGTTTGCGTATTAGAACCACTGTTAGCTTGCGTTATAGAACCACTGTTAGTTTACGTATTAGAATCCCTGCTAGCTTGCCTATTAGAATCACTGTTAGCTTGTGTATTAGAATCACTGTGCGTTTGCGTTATAGAACCACTGTTAGCTTGCGTATTAGAATCACTGTTCGCTTGCGTACTGTTAGCTTGCGTATTAGAATCACTGTTAGCTTGCGTATTAGAATCACTGTTAGCTTGCGTATTAGAATCACTGTTAGCTTGCCCATTAGAATCACTGTTAGCTTGCGTATTAGAATCACTGTTAGCTTGCCTATTAGAATCACTGTTAGCTTGCGTATTAGAATCATTGTTAGCTTGCCTATTAAAATCACTGTTAGCTTGCGTATTAGAATCACTGTAAGCTTGCGTATAATAATCACTGTTAGCTTGCCTATTAGAATCACTGTTAGCTAGCGTATTAGAATCACTGTTAGCTTGCGTATTAGAATCACTGTTAGCTTGCGTATTAGAATCACTGTTAGCTTGCCTATTAGAATCACTGTTAGATTGCCTATTTGAATCACTGTTAGCTTGGGTAATGGAATCACTGTTAGGTATCGTATTGGAATCACTATGAGCTTGCCTATTAGAATCGCTGTTAGCTTGCCTATTAGAATTACTGTTAACTTGCCTATTAGAATCACTGTTAGCTTGCCTATTAAAATCACTGTTAGATTGCCTTTTAGAATCACTGTTAGCTTGCCTATTAGAATCACTGTTAGCTTGCCTATTTGAATCACTGTTAGCTTTCCTATTAGAATCACTGTTAGATTGCCTATTAGAATCACTGTTAGATTTCCTATAAGAATCACTGTTAGATTGCCTATTAGAATCACTGTAAGCTTGCCTATTAGAATCACTGTTAGATTGCCTATTAGTATCACTGTTAGCTTCGGTAATGGCATCACTGTTAGGTATCGTATTGGAATCACTATGAGCTTGTGTATTTGAATCCATATTAGCTTGCGTATTAGGTTTACCGTCAAGGAAAAACAGATTTGGAAATATCAGACGTATTTACGAGTTGCAAAACTGGACACAAAGTTAACGGTATGAACATTAATACTATTTCAAACATTAATTGACACTAAAAATTATTATAAGTATGAAATTCCTTATTTTGTTTTTCATAATAACATAGTGCAAAATTCCGCGGAAAAGACGTCAACGTTTTCGCAACTTGTATATATAAACATTGAAATATGGATGTATACATAGACTGTGCATGCAAAAATAACGGAAAGCCATCAGCAAAAGCAAGCTTTGTAAAATTCTGGGAGAAAAACAGTACAAGAAAAAGTTAGGTCTAGTTCCAGATACATACAAGCAAACCAACAATACTGGAGATTTATTTGCTGCATTTAAATACCTTCAACAAGTTCATCAACTTAATATAGTTGATGTTAATATAAAAATAGATAGCGAATATTTGGTAAGGGAGATCTCCAGTGATATTACATACTGGAAAAACAACAATTGGAAACTCAAATCCTCCGGAAAAGATATAAAAACAAAGAACTATGGTCAGAGATTGACAATATGTCAACAAATTCTGAAAGTGGACAAACTGAGGCCGACAAACTTGCAAAAAATGCACTTAATATTAAAATATCATCTACTAATATTATGCAAATTCAACAACAAATCACAATGCATACATTTGATGAGAGTGAATGTAGTGATAATTAAGATGAAACAATTCCGCTGAAATTAGTAACACCGCGCCGAAGTGCACATTTCCTGTTCGTCCAATACGAATCAAACGTTGAAAAGGCAAATGCTAAAATGGTTGAAAGAGTAAATAAAACAACATCACCTTTAAAATTGTCAGTTGGAGACTATGTGTACTTGCACGACGAGCTTACTGGGCAGGGACGAAAATTACAAGCTAAATATACTGGACCTTTTATTGTTGATAATATACCAAGTCCTCATTTAACAAAAATTAGAGATCCTGAAAACAAGCGAAGATTTCGAATGCCTGTGCACATAAATAGATTAAAAATGACATATATTCGTGCCCCTCAACCACAGCCGTATTTACAACATGTAAGTGAGAGCCAAAGTTCTATTACTACGGTCGATTCTTCAAATTCGTCATTATCTGAACAAGTCCCTGTACGTCAGTCAACTAGAAACAAAAAGCCACCCACAAAATGTAACGACTTTGTTAATTTAGGAACAGAATCAATATCATCAAACGAAAATCGATATCATAAAATCAAACGTGTGCTAGCAAGGAAAATCGATAACAATCAATTAAAATATCTTGTACAAATTGTCGGTGAACCAGCACAAAATTCTATATGGGTAGAGGAGTCAAGTTTATCACCAAAAGCAAAGAAGGTAGTTCAAAATAGACCACCTCCAATGATACTGTGAGTCTATTTTTGTGTGTGAAAATTGTTTCGCCACAACCAATCAACATTGTTTCAAACGTTTTATACAGATCTGTGTGTGAGAATTGCCTCGCCACAGCTAGTCAAGATGAAAAGTTTATACTTGTGTGTGAGAATTGCCTCGCCACAAGATTCTGAAGTTGTGTGTGTGAAAATTGTCCCGCCACTCTCTTTATAATTATGTACTTTAATACCAAACCACGGATACCACAGATGTAGATGGAAGAATATTTGTGTGACAATATTAAATAATTTTAACATTTTGTTGATATGTGTTAATTGATTTACATTGAACTGTTAGTGACATTTACTTCATTTGTGTGTTATATTTGATCTTAGATGAATTTTGTTTTTGCATGCTTATATAGAGGGCTACACGTGACTGCATTTAGAAGTAGTATATTTGTTGTCGTTGATCCTTGAATCGTGCTGATAGGGTTATTTGTAAAAGTTATTTTTGCTATTTGAGTGTCTAATTGTATTAGGAATTTTTGGGTGGAATCAAATGATTCAAAAGGAATAAAGTGTACTAGTGGCCAAAAATTGGTGGCCGGGATTTTGTTAAGTGTTTAAACGTTGAACAACAGATGTACATGTAGTAGCGCAAAAGATGTTATGCTAGAATTAACCTATGTTTTCATATATTAATAACTATTTTTGACTGAATGTTGTAAGAATCTTTAATCTCAGTTAACGGAGCATTAATGAGTAATTCTGTGAGTGCGTGAGAATATATTAGTTATTATTATTTGAAATTAATTAAGAGTTACGGGTCTCTGCTAGTGTCATCACTTTCAAACAAGTATGTGTACTTTAAGCTACAATTTATGCATCGCAAGTGTTCACTTGAGCAAAGTTGACAGTTGTAACTTCTGTCGTGCTCTTGGAAGTATCCGTTAGAAAAACAAGTGAAAGTTTAATGGTCAAGATTTTACAAAAAAAAATCAAAATAAGTTGAAGTTTACTGGTGCAGTAAAATTTGTACCTTTAATATTGTTATTATGAAAATATTAACAACTTCAAATTACTAAAAAAATAAACAATATCAAAGCAATGCAAAAAAAAAGAACGAAAAGTTTTAAAATAAAAAATAACCTAAATCTTTAGCTTCCCAAAACTCTGATTACTGAACCAGCGGTTGGGAAGAATAGTTATTTCCAATATTCCGATAAAATAAAATGAAAAAAACAGGAATTTGATTAAAGTTTTGAATATATTTAAAACTTTTAAAGGCATTTTATTAGAACATTTCCCTGACATAATGAAATAGTATTTGATTTAAAAAGCCAGAACCAAAATATTGGCTGTGAAATAAAATTAGTTGTAACTTAAATGTATTTATTGATTTAAACTGTAAATAAAAAAGGAGAATTTCTCACTTAAATATTACATGATTTACATTCATACTCACAATCAGGAAACATATAGAATTCGTATCTTTCTTTTTACTGTTTTGTCACCTAATGTCTATAACGCATTTTTTAAATATTTCCCAAATTATAAGAAAATCCTTGCATCACTAAAACTAACCCATAAATGAAATGCTGAAAAATGAAGTCATGCATCAATTATAAACATTTAATTTACACTGACAATGAAACTAATTCTTGAATACAACCAATCAAGAGATCATTTGAGCCTTGAGCATTTTACAATATTCTAAGTTTGTAAGAGAATGATAATCCCTTACTTCATGATAAGTACTCGCTAACGCTCGTACTTAATCATGAAGAAAGAGATTATCATTCTCTTACATATACTTAGAAGGCAAATTCAAGCAATTTGATTTGACGAGAAGTTGTAAATATGTGCTAATTGTTTATATACAAGCACGTTAGTTGTTATAGATATGAATTTTAATCAGATTGTTGTATTAAAATCCCTGTAAGCTTCATATTATGAATAAATCTTTATTGCTAAAACTTAAACATGCTATGGCAAACTTAACAACATATATAACACATGGATAGCTTGCGTATAAGAATCACTGTTAGCTTGAGTATTAGAATCACTGTTAGCGTGCGTATTAGAATCACTGTTAGCTAACGTAATAGCATCACTGTTATCTAGCGTCTTATAATCACTGTTAGTTTTAGAATTAGATTTACTGACTGTTAGCTTGCGTATTATAATCACTGTTAGCTTGCGTATTAGATTCACTGTTAGCTTGCGTATTAGAATCACTGTTAGATAACGTATAAGAATCACGGTTAGCTAGCGTTTTAAAATCACTGTTAGCTTGTGTATTATAATCACTGTTGGCTTGCGTATCAGAAACACTGTTAGCGAGCGTATTAGAATCACTGTTAGCGAGCGTATTAGAATCACTGTGAGCTTGCGTATTAGAATCACTGTGAGCTTGAGTATTAGCATCACTGTAAGTATGCGTATTCGAATCCCTGTTAGCTAGCGTACTAGAATCACCGTGAGCTTGTGTATTAGAATCCCTGTTAGCTTGCGAATTATATATACTGTTAACTAGCGTATTAAAATCACTGTGATCTTGCGTTATAGAATCACTGTTAGCTTGCATATTACAATCACTGTTAGTTTGCGTATTAGAAGCACTGTTAGCGTGGGTATTAGATATACTGTTAGCTAGCGTATAAGAATCACTGTGAGCTTGCGTTATAGAATCACTGTTAGCTTGCATATTGGAATCACTGTTAGTTTGCGTATTATAATCACAGTGAGGTAGCGTATTAGAATCACTGTTAACTTGCGTATTAGAATCACTGTGAGCTTGCGTTATAGAATCACTGTTAGCTTGCGTATTAGAACCACTGTAAGTTTGCGTATTAGAACCACTGTTAGCTTGCGTTATAGAAACACTGTTAGCTTGCGTATTAGAATCATTGTAAGTATGCGTATTCGAATCCCCGTTAGCTAGCGTATTGGAACCACTGTTAGCTTGGGTATTAGATATACTGTTAGCTAGCGTATAAGAATCACTGAGAGCTTGCGTTATAGAATCACTGTTAGCTTGCATATTGGAATCACTGTTAGTTTGCGTATTATAATCACTGTGAGCTAGCGTATTAGAATCACTGTTAGCTTGCGTATTAGAATCACTGTGAGCTTGCGTTATAGAATCACTGTTAGCTTGCGTATTAGAACCACTGTTAGCTTGCGTTATAGAAACACTGTTAACTTGTGTATTAGAATCACTGTTAGTTTGCGTATTAAAATCGCTGTGAGCTTGCGTTATAGAATCACTGTAAGCTTGCGTATTAGAACCACTGTTAGCTTGCGTTATAGAACCACTGTTAGCTTGCGTTATAGAACCACTATTAGTTTGCGTATTAGAATCCCTGCTAGCTTGCGTATTAGAATCACTTTTGGCTTTTGTATTAGAGTCACTGTGAGTTTGCGTTATAGAATCACTGTTAGCTTGCGTATTAGAATCACTGTTCGCTTGCGTACTGTTAGCTTGCGTATTAGAATCACTGCAAGCTTGCGTATTAGAATCACTGTTAGCTTACCAATTAGGATCACTGTTAGCTTGCCTATTAAAATCACTGTCAGCTTGCGTATTAGAATCACTGTTAGCTTGCCTATTAGAATCACTGTTAGCTTGCCTTATAGAATCACTGATAGAATTGGTAATTGAATCATTGTCAGCTTGCGTATTAGAATCACTGTTAGCTTGCCTATTAGAATCACTGTTAGCTTGCGTATTAGAATCACTGTTAGCTTGCCTATTAGAATCACTGTTAGATTGCCTATTAGAATCACTGTTAGCTTGCGTATTAGAATCACTGTTAGCTTGCCTATTAGAATCACTGTTAGCTTGCCTATTAGAACCACTGTTAGATTTGGTAATGGAATCACTGTTAGCTTGCCTATTAGAATCACTGTTAGATTGCCTATTAGAATCACTGTTAGCTTGGGTAATGGAATTACTGTTTGGTATCGTATTGGAATCACTATGAGCTTGCCTATAAGAATCACTGTTATCTTGCCTATTAGAATCACTGTTAGCTAGCCTATTAGAATCACTGTTAGATTGCCTATTAGAATCAATGTTAGATTTGGTAATGGAATCACTGTTAGCTTGCCTATTAGAATCACTGTTAGCTTGCCTATTAGAATCACTGTTAGATTGCCTATTAGAATTACAGTTAGATTGCCTATTAGAATAACTGTTAGCTTGCGTATTAGAATCACTGTTAGCTTGCCTATTAGAATCACTGTTAGCTTGCCTATTAGAATCACTGTTAGATTTGGTAACGGAATCACTGTTAGCTTGCCTATTAGATCACTGTTAGCTTGCCTATTATAATCACTGTTAGCTTGCCTATTAGAATCACTGTTAGATTTGGTAATGGAATCACTGTTAGCTTGCCTATTAGAATCATTGTTAGCTTGCCTATTAGAATCACTGTTAGCTTGCCTATTAGAATCACTATGAGCTTGCATATTAGAATCACTGTTAGCTTGCCTATTAGAATCACGGTTAGATTTGGTAATGAAATCACTGTTAGATTGCCTATTAGAATCACTATGAGCTTGCCTATTAGAATCACTGTTAGCTTGCCTATTAAAATCACTGTTAGCTTACCTATTAGAATCACTGTTAGATTGCCTATTAGAATCACTGTTAGCTTGCGTATTAGAATCACTGTTAGCTTTGGAATCACTATGGGCTTGTGTATTTGAATCCATATTAGCTTGCGTATTAGGTTTACCGTCAAGGAAAAACAGATTTGGAAATATCAGACGTATTTACGAGTTGCAAAACTGGATACAAAGTTAACAGTATGAACATTAATACTATTTCAAACATTAATTGACACTTAAAATTATTATAACTATGAAATTCCTTATTTTTGTTTTTCATAATAACATAGTGCAAAATTCCGCGGAAAAGACGTCAACGTTTTCTCAACTTGTATATATAAACATTGAAATATGGATGTATACATAGACTGTGCATGCAAAAATAACGGAAAGCCATCAGCAAAAGCAAGCTTTGTAAAATTCTGGGAGAAAAACAGTACAAGAAAAAGTTAGGTCTAGTTCCAGATACATACAAGCAAACCAACAATACTGGAGATTTATTTGCTGCATTTAAATACCTTCAACAAGTTCATCAACTTAATATAGTTGATGTTAACATAAAAATAGATAGCGAATATTTGGTAAGGGGGATCTCCAGTGATATTACATACTGGAAAAACAACAATTGGAAACTCAAATCCTCCGGAAAAGATATAAAAACAAAGAACTATGGTCAGAGATTGACAATATGTCAACAAATTCTGAAAGTGGACAAACTGAGGCCGACAAACTTGCAAAAAATGCACTTAATATTAAAATATCATCTACTAATATTAATATGCAAATTCAACAACAAATCACAATGCATACATTTGATGAGAGTGAACGTAGTGATAATTAAGATGAAACAATTCCGCTGAAATTAGTAACACCGCGCCGAAGTGCACATTTCCTGTTCGTCCAATACGAATCAAACGTTGAAAAGGCAAATGCTAAAATGGTTGAAAGAGTAAATAAAACAACATCACCTTTAAACTTGTCAGTTGGAGACTATGTGTACTTGCACGACGAGCCTACTGGGCAGGGACGAAAATTACAAGCTAAATATACTGGACCTTTTATTGTTGATAATATACCAAGTCCTCATTTAACAAAAATTAGAGATCCTGAAAACAAGCGAAGATTTCGAATGCCTGTGCACATAAATAGATTAAAAATGACATATATTCGTGCCCCTCAACCACAGCCGTATTTACAACATGTAAGTGAGAGCCAAAGTTCTATTACTACGGTCGATTCTTCAAATTCGTCATTATCTGAACAAGTCCCTGTACGTTAGTCAACTAGAAACAAAAAGCCACCCACAAAATTTAACGACTTTGTTAATTTAGGAACAGAATCAATATCATCAAACGAAAATCGATATCATAAAATCAAACGTGTGCTAGCAAGGAAAATCGATAACAATCAATTAAAATATCTTGTACAAATTGTCGGTGAACCAGCACAAAATTCTATATGGGTAGAGGAGTCAAGTTTATCACCAAAAGCAAAGAAGGTAGTTCAAAATAGACCACCTCCAATGATACTGTGAGTCTATTTTTGTGTGTGAAAATTGTTTCGCCACAACCAATCAACATTGTTTCAAACGTTTTATACAGATCTGTGTGTGAGAATTGCCTCGCCACAGCTAGTCAAGATGAAAAGTTTATACTTGTGTGTGAGAATTGCCTCGCCACAAGATTCTGAAGTTGAGTGTGTGAAAATTGTCCCGCCACTCTCTTTATAATTATGTACTTTAATACCAAGCCACGGATACCACAGATGTAGATGGAAGAATATTTGTGTGACAATATTAAATAATTTTAACATTTTGTTGATATGTGTTAATTGATTTACATTGAACTGTTAGTGACATTTACTTCATTTGTGTGTTATATTTGATCTTAGATGAATTTTGTTTTTGCATGCTTATATAGAGGGCTACACGTGACTGCATTTAGAAGTAGTATATTTGTTGTCGTTGATCCTTGAATCGTGCTGATAGGGTTATTTGTAAAAGTTATTTTTGCTATTTGAGTGTCTAATTGTATTAGGAATTTTTGGGTGGAATCAAATGATTCAAAAGGAATAAAGTGTAATAGTGGCCAAAAATTGGTGGCCGGGATTTTGTTAAGTGTTTAAACGTTGAACAACAGATGTACATGTAGTAGCGCAAAAGATGTTATGCTAGAATTAACCTATGTTTTCATATATTAATAACTATTTTTGACTGAATGTTGTAAGAATCTTTAATCTCAGTTAACGGAGCATTAATGAGTAATTCTGTGAGTGCGTGAGAATATATTAATAGTTATTATTATTTGAAATTAATTAAGAGTTACGGGTCTCTGCTAGTGTCATCACTTTCAAACAAGTATGTGTACTTTAAGCTACAATTTATGCATCGAAAGTGTTCACTTGAGCAAAGTTGACAGTTGTAACTTCTGTCGTGCTCTTGGAAGTATCCGTTAGAAAAACAAGTGAAAGTTTAATGGTCAAGATTTTACAAAAAAAAATCAAAATAAGTTGAAGTTTACTGGTGCAGTAAAATTTGTACCTTTAATATTGTTATTATGAAAATATTAACAACTTCAAATTACTAAAAAAATAAACAATATCAAAGCAATGCAAAAAAAAGAACAAAAAAGTTTTAGAATAAAAAATAACCTAAATTTTTAGCTTCCCAAAACTCTGATTACTGAACCAGCGGTTGGGAAGAATAGTTATTTCCAATATTCCGATAAAATAAAATGAAAAAAACAGGAATTTGATTAAAGTTTTGAATATATTTAAAACTTTTAAAGGCATTTTATCAGAACATTTCCCTGACATAATGAAATAGTATTTGATTTAAAAAGCCAGAACCAAAATATTGGCTGTGAAATAAAATTAGTTGTAACTTAAATGTATTTATTGATTTAAACTGTAAATAAAAAAGGAGAATTTCTCACTAAAATATTACATGATTTACATTCATACTCACAATCAGGAAACATATAGAATTCGTACCTTTCTTTTTACTGTTTTGTCACCTAATGTCTATAACGCATTTTTTAAATATTTCCAAAATTATAAGAAAATCCTTGCATCACTAAAACTAACCCATAAATGAAATGCTGAAAAATGAAGTCATGCATCAATTATAAACATTTAATTTACACTGACAATGAAACTAATTCTTGAATACAACCAATCAAGAGATCATTTGAGCCTTGAGCATTTTACAATATTCTAAGTTTGTAAGAGAATGATAATCCCTTACTTCATGATAAGTACTCGCTAACGCTCGTACTTAATCATGAAGAAAGATATTATCATTCTCTTACATATACTTAGAAGGCAAATTCAAGCAATTTGATTTGACGAGAAGTTGTAAATATGTGCTAATTGTTTATATACAAGCACGTTAGTTGTTATAGATATGAATTTTAATCAGATTGGTGTATTAAAATCCCTGTAAGCTTCATATTATGAATGAATCTTTATTGCTAAAACTTAAACATGCTATGGCAAACTTAACAACATATATAACACATGGAGAGCTTGCGTATAAGAATCACTGTTAGCTTGAGTATTAGAATCACTGTTAGCATGCGTATTAGAATCACTGTTAGCTAACGTAATAGCATCACTGTTATCTAGCGTCTTATAATCACTGTTAGTTTGAGAATTAGAATTACTGACTGTTAGCTTGTGTATTATAATCACTGTTAGCTTGCGTATTAGATTCACTGTAATCTTGCGTATTAGAATCACTGTTAGATAACGTATAAGAATCACGGTTAGCTAGCGTATTAAAATCACTGTTAGCTTGTGTATTATAATCACTGTTAGCTTGCGTATCAGAAACACTGTTAGCGAGCGTATTAGAATCACTGTTAGCGAGCGTATTAGAATCACTGTGAGCTTCCGTATTAGAATCACTGTGAGCTTGAGTATTAGCATCACTGTAAGTATGCGTATTCGAATCCCTGTTAGCTAGCGTATTGGAATCACTGTGAGCTTGTGTATTAGAATCCCTGTTAGCTTGCGAATTATATATACTGTTAACTAGCGTATTAAAATCATTGTGATCTTGCGTTCTAGAATCACTGTTAGCTTGCATATTGGAATCACTGTTAGTTTGCGTATTATAATCACTGTGAGCTTGCATATTACAATCACTGTTAGTTTGCGTATTAGAAGCACTGTTAGCTTGGGTATTAGATATACTGTTAGCTAGCTTATAAGAATCACTTTGAGCTTGCGTTATAGAATCACCGTTAGCTTGCATATTGAAATCACTGTTAGTTTGCGTATTATAATCACTGTGAGCTAGCGTATTAGAATCACTGTGAGCTAGCGTATTAGAATCACTGTTAACTTGCGTATTAGAATCAATGTGAGTTTGCGTTATAGAATCACTGTTAGCTTGCGTATTAGAACCACTGTTAGCTTGCGTTATAGAAACACTGTTAGCTTGCGTATTAGAATCACTGTTAGTTTGCGTATTAGAACCACTGTTAGCTTGCGTTATAGAAACACTGTTAGCTTGCGTATTAGAATCACTGTTAGTTTGCGTATTAAAATCGCTGTGAGCTTGCGTTATAGAATCACTGTAAGCTTGCGTATTAGAACCACTGTTAGCTTCCGTTATAGAACCACTGTAAGCTTGCGTATTAGAACCAATGTTAACTTGCGTTAGAGAACCACTATTATTTTGCGTATTAGAGTGAAAATTGAAGTCATGCATCAATTATAAACATTTAATTTACACTGACAATGAAACTAATTCTTGAATACAAGCAATCAAGAGATCATTTGAGCCTTGAGCACTTTACAATATTCTTAGTTTGTAAGAGAATGATAATCCTTTACTTCATGATAAGTACTCGCTAACGCTCGTACTTAATCATGAAGAAAGAGATTATCATTCTCTTACATATACTTAGAAGGCAAATTCAAGCAATTTGATTTGACGAGAAGTTGTAAATATGTGCTAATTGTTTATATACAAGCACGTTAGTTGTTATAGATATGAATTTTAATCAGATTGGTGTATTAAAATCCCTGTAAGCTTCATATTATGAATAAATCTTTATTGCTAAAACTTAAACATGCTATGGCAAACTTAACAACATATA